TAATTGCTTTTTATTATATGGAAAAAACCATGTGTCAGAGCACACCATTTTCTCCATGTGCATCTGACAGTTAAAACCCTTTTTGAGTCACGTTTGATTCACACAACCGGAAAATGGTGTCCAAGAAATGAAGACTTTCCCCAGACAGCTTCCAAATAGGGAACTGACAGGAGAGAGACAAACGAATAAATAGGTTTTTAAAGAAAATGAAGTTATGGAGGAACAAATGAACGTGGTAGGCTAGGGGAAAATTGTTGGTGACTGAAAACATCATTCTATATATAATTTAGTAAAAACTATCATAGCATAAAATCTGCTGCTGTAAGCAAAGTAACTGAGGGCCAAGTGTTGTAAACAATCTCTTCTGGAGTTTTATAGTAATTCCATTCAGTGTTGTGTTTAACAGCATTCGATATTGCCAGGTCAGGGTGTGTTGGTGAATTATGTTGCTGTTCTTTCTTTTTCAAGTTACAACGAAGAGGTTGCAAGCCTAAGGAAACATCTTTACAGATGTGGCTATAGATGTGTAAAGAAATCTCAGTATTTTCAAAACAGAATTTTTTTAGTTTGATTGTGAACCCACCTTAGGTTTAAATTCACTATCTCTGCAGATCAGTACTGTGCATATAATTTTCATAGTTAGTTTTCTGGAGATCATACCCAAAAACTTTGTTAAAAAATATAAAATTAGTTCACCAGTTCTATGGCTGGTTTCCATGGGTGAGTCCTGTGTGGTTTACATTAGTGGTACATGTGTATTCTACATATATTAACATAGAGTTCAGTGACCACTTTATAAAAAGGTATTTACCATTTATGTGGAAAATACGGGAAAAACATTTTTGCCTCCTTTGGAAAAATTCAGTGCCTTCCACAGTTGTGTGACATGTGCTTCCTGTGGGGTTGTGTTGATATTATCCTGTAGATGGACTGAGTGGTTGAAACTTCGTGTTCTGTTTCCTAGCTCGGTTGGGATTGTACAGTACTGGAAATGCCAACCTTGAGCAGCTTAAGAATGGTGGACCATATCACATTTGAGGTCAAAGCAGAGTAGAAATGGTCATGATGATGGTGGAAGGCCCAAATTATATCATGACGTAAGCTTTTAGGGACCCATTTGTTCACGAGATGGGATTTGACCTGCGCCACATGGATGAATTCTGTGGTATGTTAAAAGTCCTTTGAACAGGCTATTGCTTTATGGAGAAACAATCCATGGTTCTGGAATTTGCCAAGTTGGAGCCCCACATAACAGAGCCAGATGACATCGTTGCTGCCTTGGAACTTTTATTTAGTGTTAGTTAATAGGAGGTATACTAACTTACCCCACAGAGTCTATTTCAGGATTACATAAACTTTCTGATAAACAAGTAATTCTCCATTTTTCATTTTTTAAGGTTATAGATAGTGTTTGTATGAACATGGGGGAGTGTCTTGCTTTTCAGGCCCTAAGGGATGGGCTCCTGGAAGAATTTTCTTCCATGTAGATTATCAACAACTTCGTGGTCTATTTTTGGTCTAATATCTTTCTTTTTCTTTACTTCCTTTTTTTTTTTTTTTAAGTGAATGGAAAAGTCATTCATTTCCAAAAATAGTTCCTGGATGTTTAGAAATCTCTTAAGTTTCCTTTTCTTCCCTTTCGCTCTGATTTTGGAAGTGGAAATAACGTGTTTCACCTTCCCTGGTAGGTTCTACTTCAGGAACCCTTGGGTCAAGTGACATGTTAAAGGTTGCCTGGTGAGCCTGGTGAGCCTCTTCTAGCCCAGGTCCTTTTTACTAATGTTGGCTGCCTTTCCAATAAATTCAATAAAATTAATCAGATGGAATAAAAGCAGAGTTAAATGCTACTCGGTTCAGTTACCCCTATTTAAATCCAGTAGAATGAAGAAATAGTTACAGAGATTCTTGGCCTCCTGTGTGCTGGGACCGTAGATGAAGACTAGCTTTGTCTGGGAGATGGGAGACAGACATATAAAATGAAGACAGTAATGGTGGCAAGGCACCATTATCAGGTGGCGATGGCTTCTGAGAAAAGGAAGGAAGGCTCTCTTGAGTCTGGAGGATTTTATCCTCATCCATTAATCTCCTAGGTTGAGGGTTTCTCGTGCTTTCTCAGCGCTGAGGAAGAAGAGGGGGACTGTGAGAAAAGTGCTGGAGCTGAGGAAGTGCTGGGTGTGTTCAGAAACAGTGAAGGAATCTGTCACTGTGACCGACCCAGAGTCTTTGCATAAGGGAGGGAAGACTCGGGCAAGACCATGAGTAGCTTAGAATCGTGCAGCTTTGGTGTTGGAAGAGCTAGGACCTTCTTGTTCTAACTCCTCGTTTTGCATTTGAGGGCCACAGCCAAGGGGTGTCCCGCCAGCAGTTGGAAGGACAGGGACTTGAGCTGAGTCTTCTGACTCTGACTCAGTGCTCTTCCCAGTACGCCACCCAACTGCCCAATCCCTACTCAGTTTTAAGCATCCTGCCTGTGTTCATTCTTTCATTCATTTCATTTGTTCGTTCATTCATTCAGTAACTGTTGCACAGGCTCTCAGTCTCAGGCGCTCTTCCTGGGTTTGGGACTCCAGTGGTGAGCACCAGCAGACAGGTCCCTGTGTCCATGAGGCTTACACAGTGCTCGTGTCCTTCTCCCTGAGGCCTCACCATGCTGTTCCT